CCAGATCATTTGCTTTATTTTCTCTCAAGTTATCCTTCTTCTTCCCCTTTTCTTTGTTCTGCCACACCTCATATATCATCACAATGAAAAGCAATAAAAAGCTACGTTTGAGGGTCGTACTCCATTCCTTGAGCAAATGATAAGGAGCAGAGAGAGCCATTTACCATGTCAATGCGCAGGCAGGGACATGGTGTTTGGCACTTTACTGGGCAGTGGCATTGAAAGCCTCCCAAACCTAAAAAACTATATTTTTTTATCCTGCTTGCAAGGAAAGGAATTTGTAACTCTTACTTCAAGGCTGTGAGGTCAGACTATCCTCTGTAGCCCTGGCTAATTGTAAAACTTTTAGCCAGGACATAAAACTATTTCTCTCTGAACTTTGTTAATTGATTAATTGTTATTTGGGTCCTAAACAATAAACAGTTTGTTAGTTGACACTTGAGTCTTGTATTAAAAATCTGAAGTTAGAAGTGCGTGCAGAGAGTTAACTGCTTGAGGAATTTGTGTAGGGCATTAGGTCTTTATCAGCCAGACCTTGCAATGGAGAACTAGCACCAAAGTTGCTTTTTGTCTGACCTTGGTTCTACAATTAGACATTTGGGAATTTGGCCTTGTGCATTATTTGTGAAGGTTTAACTTGTAAGGCATTTAGTCTTGTTTGAATTTGTTTTGAGGCCTAAAATCAACTAATTGTTTGTAGCTTGTCTAAAACTAAAAAGAAATTGCTGTTTTCTTTATGTCAGTCTGAGCTAGTTATAAAAAACAGGGCCCGTCTTACAGTCTTTGTGGAATAATAGATCTAATTAAGAAGCATATCCTAGTATATTTCTATTCATCAAAATTATACAGTTTAAGAAGAAATCATCTTCCTGACTATCCACAAATATATGTGCCCCAAACCACACCACCAATGGGCTATGGAAAGAACCCAACAGCTGTTTTTAGGGAAGAAATAGTAGTGGCCAAAGAGAAAAATTAGATGGAAGAAACTGGTTTTCAGAGTCTGTGGTCCTGTAAGCCTTGCTTGCATGGGGTTCCTCTATCAGAGAATTATTCATCTGTTGGGTTGACACCTGAATTATCAATTGCCATCTGCTGTATATTCTTGTGGCCTCTGGTAAAGACATTGCTACCTGCAGTTTTCAGCAATCAAACACTTTTTTCCTAAGATATCTGCATCTGAATCAGTAAATATCTGATATTTACTAATATTTAATAAAAATACTGTATCTGCTAGTAAAATATCATCCATAAAATGGTAATTTGTAGATTGAGTAAATTGTTTACAAACTATTTCTAATGGCTGTTGTACAAAATATTGGCACAAGATGGGTTGTTTAGTATTCCTTATGGAAGAATTTTCCACTTATTTTTTTAAGTAGGTTGAGTATTATTATAAGTAAGCACTATGAAGGCAAAATTTTCTTTTTTCTGTTCTTATAAAGGTATAGTAAAAAGCAGTCTTTTAAATCAGTCACTATAATACATCATTCCTTAGGTAGTAAAGAAGGAAAGGGAATTCCAGGCTGTAACGAACCCATTGCCTGAATCACCTGATTTATAGCTCTCAAATCTATTACTGATCTCCATTTTCCAGATTTATTTTTAATGACAAATACAATAGAATTCCAAGGACTGGTCAGCTCTTCAATATGTTGAGCATTAAGCTTCTCCTGTACCAGCTGTACTAGCACCTGTAAATTTTCTGATTTCAATGGCCATTGTTTTACCCACCCAGGTCTGTCAGTTAACCATTTTAAAGGTAGGGAGATTGGTAACTTTGAAAGACCAACAACTGTTGTACTCTGCTTAAGTCTTAATAATACTTTTTAATATTTTTCTTAGAAGAATTCTTTATTTTTTATATTGGAGGAATGTTAATCTGTGTTTTCCATTGTTGCAACAAATCACATCCCCATAAATTCTTGACTATATTAGCCACATATGGCTTTAGTTTTTCTATCTGTCCTTCTGGCCCTATACACTCAACCCATCTTATACTTTGTTTTGTCTGAGACAAAGTTCCAGTCCCTAGAAGCTGAATACTTACCTCCTGGAGAAGCAAGTCTGGATGCCAAGATTTTGGTGATAGTATTGTCACATCTGCCCCTGTGTCTAGTAATTCTTCAATTTCAGTTCCATTTATTTGTATTTTTAGCTTTGCTCTCTTATCATTTATTTGGCAGGTTGCCAAAATACTTGTTTTATAGCTTTTCCTGAATTTTTGTTTTATCTACTGAAACTGTTCTGTCCTTGATTACATGCAGAGCACTGTTGTTTTTAACAACAGGCATTACGTCTTTTCGTTGTCTGTGGATGAGTTTCTCTGGTGCTGACAAGGAATAGTTGATATAGGGG